TCCTCACCCTTTAGAGTAGTTGAGTGTTGGTTGCATACTCTATTGGGTAACAAGGCTGACAAACTGTACACCTGATCTTTGATCTTCAAGTAGATGTTCCATTGTTTCTCTTGTGATAGTGCGTTCTTTTATTTGTAGCTTGTTGAAGAGGGAAAAAAAAAAAAAAAAAAACATGAAAAACAGAAAATTACCAGAGAGAAACAACAAATATCTGAGTCCACATGAATAGGCTAAGATTAAAGCTAGCGCTAATAAATATGATGTTCAACAAAGACTTGTATCTCCATCAGAATCGTCTACAACCCGTTGGTCACCACTTAATAGAGGAGAGGATATTGCTGATATGGCCTTTTCAGGACAACTTTAAGGTACCTCCATTCGACCTTGATGAATTCTGCTTTATAAATGCAATGGACTCACTTAAAATAAGTGGAGTTTTCCAACATATTCTTAAATGTTATCACATAAAATTTGAAACACGCTTGGATCACAACGTACATAGGCCCTGCATTTCAATAGATTCAAGGTTCCACTTGTCATAGTAAACCTTGCTCCTTAAAGTCTTTTGCCACTGAAACACCAGACAGAAAGCAAATGTTAGTTCAACAGGATAACATATAAGACAAATCATTCAAAAGAGATGAGGAAGATTAAACCAAAGGGAACAAAAGCAGTTAAAGCCTTGTGTGCAATTTAAACAACCAAACCGGCATCACAGGATTGTGATGTTTTCTTCTCAGAATTTTGCTTAAACATGCTACATAAATGCTAGAGATGCAACTTTCTGACTTCTCAACCATGACAAGATAATCTAAAATGATAATTAAAAAAGTATTTATATTTTTACTTTTAAGTACAAAAATACTATCTTGTTTTCACTTTATTTTCTGTTTTCAAAAGCATGTATACAAAACAGTGAAAACGGCTTTTATTTTCTGTTTTCACATTTTCCTCAAAACTAACAGTCCCTAATATTTGTTGCATAACTTTTACATTTGACAAACCATAGCTGAATTTGTCGACCTATATAATATTATTGCTACCTTCAAATCATTACTTTCGTAACAGTTAAGCCATTTCACCTTCAAAAGTATATGAAACAATTACAAAGTCTTTCAGATGCAATTGATTTTTCTATGAACTAGAGCAATATATGTAAAGCAGAACAAGAGCTTGAGTGCTTGTTATAAAAGATCATATAGAATTTTCCATTTGATGAGGAATTTATTATGAAGGAAGTCATCGCTATAATCCCCAAATTTTCAACTTCTATATAATTTCGCTCAACATCCATTATATACGGACTCAAGTAGTAAAGTGGTGGAGCTTTTGTTGCCTTCTCATTTTTGGACTCAATGTATCTTATAGGCTATGGCACAAAAATTTGGTTGGAAAAAAAAAAGGGAGAGAAAAATAGCTTAGCAAAAATTCTAGTTTAATCAAATTTCAATACAAGATAATCTTTTCTCTACTTCATATACATACTTAATCTGTACTTTACACAAAAAAAGCTGTCAAAATATACAGGTTTCAAATTAACGAATCTAGAAAACTGCCAGTCAAAGGAAAAAAAAATATAGGAGTATCAATTTGCTATTTTTATATCCTAAAATTTAGCACAGAGGGATTTATGAAATGCCCATAAAACCCAACCTCAGCAAATGGTTAAGTTCATCAAATTCTGTTTCACAACAAGTGTAAGTACTATGATACGTGTATAACAGTAGATTCAGCATTGACGAGAAAAACATTTGACAAGGGGGAATCTCACCTTTAGACGAGGGAAGAACCAAAACAACCTGCATGGTCACATTGTTTGGAGGAAGCTGCAATCGAAGAGGGTAGAGTCTCCCATTCAAAGGACTTCGAGTACACACAATAACACCCTCAAGCCCCGTCTCTTCCTCAAACTTGCGAGTCAACTGCTCAACCCCATTCCCTTTGAAATTCAAAGAATAACCCTGCACGTTCTCATCATCCACATCCCCATTATCCTCAGCAACATGGTAGTATATAGTCCTCCCTTCCATCTTAGGTGGCGAACCCACATTTGAATCCGTCGACTACAAAGTACAAACCCAACCAACAAAAGAATAAGAATTTAATTCTAATGCATTTGCCACATTAATTTACACTGACAACCACCTAGATGTCACCTTATCTATGACAAACTATTTCAAAAATTATCAATTTTCAATTATATTTCAGTCCATGATTAGATGATATATGAAAAAAAAAAAAAAAAACTCTCTAGCGTTAAGTCAACAATTTTCAATTACACGAAAATCCATTATTAGATGCATTACTTAGATTCATGTTGGATCATCCAGAATCACATTACATAATTTTAAGTGAAGGTAAAATGTTCACATGTGTGGTTTCACTTTAAAGAATGGATTATTTGTGTAGGAAAACAAAAATAATACTTGGTTTACTTGTGAAAGAACAAATCCAAACATAAATCACATCACTTGAAAATCAATTACCTTCAAGATCAGTTTTACAAACATTCACCCAAACATATACTTGAACTCAGATGAATCATAGATACCTCTTGTCTGGAGAAAGTCGTAGATTTGATGGAAACAGCAGAAGGAGTAGAGGAGTCAAAATCGAGGGAATCAGAGTGCGGAATGGGAGGAGGAGCAGGGGACTCAACGTGGATCTCCAAAACATCAACATCCCACAAGATCCAATCCTGTGTGGCGCTCCTATGCGGGATATCGTGGGTCACCGAGTTTCTCCACGGCGGCAACCCCCCATTGGCGCGGAGGAAGTTGCCGTAGCGCGTCTTGAGCTTGACCTGGGCGCCGTCGCGGACGGGCTCCCACTCGACGGAGGAGTCGAGGCGGCGCGGCACGCTCTGCACGACCTTCCGCCCCGTGACGCCGAGCAGTAACGGCATGTTGGACGCCGTGAGGTACTTGCCGTAGCAGCTCTTGAGCCTTATGATGCTGTCGAACTCCGGGATGAGCTCCACCGTCCACTTGGCGTTACGGGAGGTGCCGTTCCGGTCTTGCGTGACGGACTCCTCGTCGTCGTCCGCGTGGAGGTACTTGTCGTGGTGGCTCCGCAGACGCACCGCCTTCGCCCGGTGGAAGAACTCCATCCCTGACCTCATGCTCGAATCCCTTGTCTGCATAACGCTCAACGTTGATTGGTCACTAGGAACAGAGATGATGATGAATGCAACTCACTTTCGTTTGATTTGATTTGGTATATTTCTACTATATAAGATAAGAAAAAAAAAACACTTTTTTTTTGTTGGGTTAGAACTTAGAACAAGGGATCATTCATTGATACCCCGTTTACTTTACGTTTCTTTTTTAAATTTGTTGTTTTATTTGTTCCGTCGTTTTCTATTATTCTTAATATGGAGATTTTTACTCGCTTATTTAAACTAATTATTGGTTCACAGTTTTATTTTGTGATAAATAATTTATACTTAGGTGATTGTATATATAAAAGAAATATATTTAAAGTAAGTTGATGAATAATATGTGTGTTTTAAGAATTTCAGAATATAATTAGGATGAATAACATAATTGAAATAATTGAAAAACATGGACATGAGATTAGGTTTAATATTAAAAAATAATTGAAATAAATAAAATTTAGACTTTTTTTTCGTTGGCTGAATTAAATTAATTAGTCTAAATTGTGGGTTCCAGGTGTGAAATGAGAAGAGCGACAGAAATAAAAATTACGCGGTTGGGGCAGTGTTGAAGCACCGCGTGAGCGGTGGTTTGAGGGAGCCAGTTGGGGTGTTTAAGTTTCCGAGTTGTCGGAGTATTACTGTTTTTTTTTTTAATTTAAATTTCTTTTGTGATTAAAAAAAGGAAGAAACTGTATTAACTAAGTAAAGGAGGAAGTGTCAAGGAAATAGCAAAGATTCACTCCAGCCTATGATGTATAGATTTTAGAGGGAGATGAATGGATTCATAGAATAGGTATTAGGATACCAAAGCAAGAAAGAGGATCAAAACATTATAATAATATCACTTCACTTTTTCTAGTTTTCTTTTGCTACTAATTATTATTTGTTTTTTACTTTGGCTTTTTTGAAGCGATAAAATTGTCATATTTTCCCTCTACTCTTTATTATGTTTCTATATGCATAGATATCTTTTTTAATAAATTAAATGGTTAGATATAAGATTTGAGCTTTAGACCATATATTTTTTTTTTTATGAAAATCATATGTTGATAATCTTTTGAGTCGACCAAATTTTCAAATTATTTTAGAACCTAGTTGATCTAGATCAAATTTTTTGGATGGAAAAATTACTAATATATCCACCTCATTTTTAGTGTTGAGCACTATGGATTACCACACACATATACGTGTCTATATTGGTAAGATATTGTCCATTTTGGGCCGAGCACTTACGGTTTTACTTTTGAATACCACTCAAAAAATCTTTCTATCAATGGAGACAACTGTGTATATAAACTCATGTTCATTCGATGATCTGATCAGGTGACCGGCTCGACAAGTATGATGACTGACAATTGGATCCATGTTTGAGATCTCTCGTGTCGAAAGTCTTTCTAAACAGTAAAAGGTTATGAGACGTATCTCACTGTCATGAGGTCATGATAGAGCAATGGTGCAAGCACTCAGAGCGTGAGTAAGTTCTGTGGGCTACCATAAGATATTGTTATCAAATTTCTTGGATGGAAAAACTACTAGTATATCCACCCCATTTTTAGCAAGGTGGATTAGGGTGGAAGAAAGAAAGGAATGAAAAGTAATAATAAATGATGTAATTAAAAAAAAAAAAAAAGATATAAAAAAATGAAAATAAGATGTGTTTATAATTATTCTTCTTGAATAGCGGAACATATGAATTGGTTGAAAAAATTTAATCTTTTTTATATAAGAAAGAATCTGGAACGACTATTTTAACTTTCGTAGGATATCTCATATTGTAATAAAACATAGAAATGGACACAGTAAAGCAGAAAGAACACTTTAGAATAATTAAAATGAATATTTTATATTGATTATACAATTGATGTTGATCCACAAATGCATTTTCTTTGTCTGTGCTCTAATGGAAGGTAAAATGATTCTAAAAAGATGCAAAGATTAAAGTTGACTAGTAGAGACGCACCTGCACATTGGAAACCGGTTCTTGGGAAGGCGAAAGGTCATCTTCAGACTCCGTAAAGGAAAGCATTTTGTGAGGAAAGTGATGGACAGGTTCGACGTCCCAGAGGATCCAATTATGCGTAACGGAGCTATAAGGGTCATCATGCGTTACGGAGTTTCTCCACGGTAACGTCCCACCGTTGGCTCTAAGGTACTTCCCACACCAACTTCTCAGTTTCACGTGGAACCCCTCTCGTATGGGTTCCCACTCGAATTTCCAATCCAAACCTAATTAAATATACAAACAAAATTTCACATCAATAAAACAATAAATAAATATATTATAGTTTGCATGGTAATTGGTAAGTAAAAGCAAATTCAGAAATATTATTAAAACCTGCGTCGAAATTAGCGAGAAGCACTTTGTTTCCCGTGACGCCCAAGAGAAAGGGTGCGTCGGTGGCCGTTAGGTAACGGCCGTTGGAGCTTCTGAGGCGCACACGGTGGTTCTTGCCTGTGGGTAGTTGAACCTCCCATATTGTGGAAGCTTTTCGGCTTTGACGGAGTTTGTGGTGCTCTTCGTCGGATACTAGGTACTTTCCCAGGTGGCTGCGTAGCTTCACACCTTTCGTTTTGTTGAAATACTCCATTGCCCTTTAAGCTTCTTATTATCCTTATATACGGATTTAGTACCATATATATATATATACTACAATGGATTTAGTATATTTTGTTTAAAAAATATATTTTCACTTAATAATATTTATTTGGAACGAGGAGCAATTTGTTCTGAAAATATTTACTCAAAATATACAGATAATATTGTTAATTTTAAGAATGTTGTCAAAATACAGTAGTGTGTATATATTGGTAAGGTTAATGATATATGATTGTATTTAATGTGGGGAGGTGAGACAATTTTTTTATTTGTATCGGTGATATCGATAAAGATTGTATTTAATTTGGGGGAGTAAATTAGCGTTGGGCATTGAATGTAGAGTTGAACCAGCAAGTCTGCAACTGCAAGGAAATACGTAAGATGATAGTAAGAGGTTGTTTGTGAATATAAAGGTTGATATTGAAAAGGTTATAACCGTGTTTAATGTATCATGACTAATGGTCAATACGTACGATGTCAACATCAAAGGACAGGAACCAAGACTCTCACGGTTGACGGGGTAAGTTCGACTTATATTATGAGCTTGAAAATTGGGTTTTGAAATACTAAAAGGAAATGAAATGAAGCTTAGAAAGAGAAATTTCGAGAAGATGGAGAAAAGGGGGAGTTTGAGATGAATTTTTGTGGGTGAAGGTGACGTACGAAGATGGGAAACGCAAGTTTATAAACTATATGGGATGTATGTTATTTGCTCACTTCTAATGTCAATACATAAACTCTTGATCCGGTCACAGAAAATTGCTAGAACATGATCCAAAAATAATCTATGATAGACCTTTCAAAAGAGTTGTAGAATTTCAATAAGTAATGTCAAAACATAACTCTTGTTCCGGTCACACAAAATTGCTAGAAGACGATTGAGAAATAATCTATGAAAGACTTTTCAAAAGTGTTGTAGAATTTCAAAATGGATGTTAATACACTATTCATATTAAGGAGGATGGTGATTATGGTGGAAAAGTTTATGATATTATATGCCGCTAAACAAGTGAATAATATCTATTTTTATTTATTTATTTTATTTAAAATTTTTATTAAAAAAAAATTAAGAAGTTAAGGTTTCATTTCAATGACAACACAATTATAAGTTTGGCGTAAACATCACATATAATAAGGTGATGCTGGTTGCCAATGACAATGGACTTGATATAACTAAATCATAGTACATATGAATAAATTTGAGTTGATACTACTCATGAATTATTGAATTAAATTACTTAACTAAATCATAGTACATGAACGAACTTGAGTTGATGTAACTGATGAAGGATTTATGTCACTTAACTAAGTTGTTAGAGTTAAAATACTTACTCTTGTGAATATATAAAAATTAAGTTGAGAGGGCATATCCACCCATTTGATATCTATCAAACTATTAAAGGAGATTGTCTCCGTATTCGATAAGGAATACTATTTGATAATGAACAAAACAAAATTCATAGCACATGAGAATGGGATAATAAAAATATCATATGAAAAATAAACAAGTTTACATTAACATCCTTTTTACATCAATTTTTTTACTATTTTATACTTGTATGTTACCAATCATTTTAACATCTTTATCATATTTTTTGTCTTATTTTTAGTTATTCTCATTTATTATATTTTCTTCATAATTTAAAGGTAATTACAACTTTATTAGACTTCTATGAAATTTTATGTTTTAGATTTAATATTTTTAGTTGATTTCTAAATATCAATCTATACCTGTGACATCGATGGTTAAATATTTATTGCAACTAGTTAACATTATTATGAAGTTATTGAAATATTAAATAATATTTAACTTTATCTTACAAATAGTTAAATATGAACAAATGTTTGTATATAATTATCGACCTATACTTGTAATACTAATAATTAAAGACATGTGATAAGTGATTAATAATATTGTATTAGAAGTTATTAAAATATTTAAATGTACCACATAGATGTTAAATGGAAAATTCAAGTGAAGGGATCGTTTATAATTTTTCTATTTGTAGATAATCTAAATGCCACGTTAGGACATATAGAAGACAACTCACAAGCAAAAAAACCTTAAAAAGGTATTGTTGAATTCGAATATTTACGAGCCCTCATTTTACGTTGTGCTTTTTCTGTATTAAAATAAGTATCGTATTAAAGAAATTTTTTTTAAATAAATGTTAACTTTTCCTTACGATATTAAATACCTTTTTTTTTATATAAAAAATTTATACTCCTAATGTTATTATATAAAACATGAATTTTGTATTATATTGTAAGAGAGTATTGTAGACATAACTTTCTATATTAATTTATGTTTAGTCACGTATGGTTTAGAAAAGAGGTTTATTATATTATTTCAAGTTTTCCTAAGATCCTGAATAGTTGACGATAAACTTGTCATTGCGCTGAATGAGAAATGAGCATCTTTTCCGCGTTTTCATGTTTCCAGGAAACTAGGTTGGCGCGTGACACTATGAGGCAGAGGTACTTAGGGTTCGTCATCTATTCCGTTTTAATAATTTGTCTCAATTTAAAGTTGATTTTGATAAATTAAATTTGATATACTTTGAAGAGAAGTTTGATTTATATTTCTAGTTCTTCAATCTTGTCTGATATCTTCTAGTATTTTAAAAATTAATTCTTAAATAATTATGTATCAATAATATTTTCTTATTTAATAAATAATATTTTATATAATATTATATTAATATTAATCTTAAAATATATATTATGAAATATATTTAATCATAATTTTATTTTTCTTTAATTTTGTAATTTAATTATACGTAATATTAAGATTGATTCATATGAAGTTAAACTAATTTAGGCCCGTCCTGCAGACAAGAAGCTTTTCTTGCTGGACCCATCCGGGGATGGACAAATCAACGTGGGAGAAGAAGGAGAGTTCCTTATCCTAGGTCAACGACAGAGGCGCTAACGGTGGCCACACACAACTAACCAATTGCGTTACTTGTTTCGTCAAGGAAGACAATGAGTTTGCTGGAGAAGATGAGTGATTTTTCATAATAAACCAGTTGCCTCACTTGCTTGGTCAGAGAAGAGGATAGATTCATCCAACAAGATGAGAGATGTCCCAATGTGAAATTCCAAAATTGTCCTTGATCGATTGTGAAAGAACTCACCATCACTCATATGTGTCAACATCTAATTTGCTAATGTCAGAAGGGCCACCCAAACCCTCTCAAATAAACTGACATCGTAGCAATAACCTATATGTATCTTTAAATTCGTATTTTGAACTTAATATATGTTATCCACGGTATTCAAATTTCTCAATACAAGAATGATGGTAGAAACTTAAAAAGAAAAAAAAAATTATAAACAAACTTATTATTTATAAATGATGTAAATTCATATTTTAGAAGAGTATGACCGACACTTTAAGTTAATTTATTTATAATATAAAATAAAAAAAACAAATGAATACAGATAAGAACTCATTTAGGGAACATTAATCCTAAATAATTTTATAATAATTAATTATCTTAAATCTCTTTTACTCTTATTTTTAATTTTCAACTTTATTACAATCAACATTCCATTTACTCTTAATTTCTAAACACTTAAAACCTCATCTGTTTAATTTAATTAAACATTAATAATTACAAATTCAAACACATGGTTCATGTAGATTTGATAGTTTACCACTTGACAACATTGTACACTTTGTGATTTTCTCACATCATGCTAGAAAATGCATATTTCTAAGCTTTAGACCTAGAACTAAAGGATATTTCTTGTTTAATTTAGTCACTCGTTTTTTCTTAAGTAGACATTTTGTTACGAACATGTTTTTCCTTGGAAGGACTCCACTAATTACTAGAGAATCGAATTCTTCTAATATCACATACTTTTGGAATTTGACCATTTTTTTTTTTGACATACCTGCTACTTCTTATATTCCTAGTCAACATGAAAATTATAATAAAGACAAATATATTGTTGATGATACTATTTCTAAGAATTCTATTTGAAAATCTACTAGAATCCGTCGATCACCGGCATATTCACATGAATTTCATTGCAATATTGCAAACTCATCTTTATCACACTTCCACCACTCTTTATCCCTTATCTTCATATTTGGATTATTCTTTTTTATCTTCTGCACATAAACATTTTGCTTTGGCCATCTCCACTATGGATGAGCCTAAGAATTATAAACAAGCCATTAAATATGAGGCCTGGATTAATGCCTTACAATTTGAGATCCAAGCTCTTAAATCAAAGTGATACGTGGGATGTTATTCAACTACCTCCTAGCAAGAAACCCATTGGATGTAAAAGGGTTTACAAGGTTAAACATAAAGCAGATAGTACTCTAGAGAGATATAAAGCTCAATTGGTGGCATGTGGCTTCACCCAAACTGAAGACATTGAGTACTTTGATACTTTCTCCCTTGTAGCAAAGGTCACCACCATCTGGATGCTTTTGGCTATTGCTACTGCTAATATTTGGTTTTTGCAACAACTTGATGTTCAAAATGATTTTCTACATGGAAAACTTGATGAAGCGGTCTACATGGAACTTCCTCGGGCACTACTCCAACACAACCCAACCAGGTTTACAAACTTCAGAAATCCACATATGGTTTGAAACAGTCCAACAGACAATGGTTTGCTCGACTGCCTTCTTCCCTTCAATCTCAAGGTTTTGATCGGTCTTTATTTGATTACTCATTATGTTTTAAACATAATCATCATTTCTTACTATTTTACTTGTTTATGTGGATGACTTGATCCTTATAGAAAACAATTTGCAAGAGATGGATGTCATTAAACATTTTCTCAACCAACTCTTTAAAATTAGATATCTAAAAAATTTATAATATTTCTTAGGATTAAAAATTGCTCGATCAAAACGTGGTTTTACATATTTGTCAATGAAAGTATGCCATGACATTCCTTCATATGCAGGTCTTTTGGCTTCTAAACTACCACTACATTTATGACCAAGGACGCTAAGTAACAAAAGGAAGGAGGTGAGCCTTTGGAAGATCTTGCAACATATATACGACTTATAGGAAGAATTTTATACCTCACAACAAGGCCTGTTATTAGTTATTCTGCCTACTAGCTCAACCAATTCATGAGTTGTCCTACATCTGCTCATCATCAAGTTGTAATGCGTGTTCTCCGCTATCTCAAAGCTACCTCGGCACATGGTCTTTTTTATTCAACCAATTCAAAGCGACAACTCAAAGCCTTTTCAGACTCTGATTGGGCGAATTACATAGATATTCACCTGTCAACAACTGGATTCTACATCTTTCTTGGGAATTCTTTATTTTCTTAGCTTTACAGTATCAATATCTTCCTTAGAGGTCGAGTATAGAGCTCTAACAGTCACCGTTTGTGAGATTCAGTGGCCCACTTACATTCTTCAAGAATTGAAGCTCCCATCTGTTTCACCAGCTCTCTTATACTGTGCGACAAACAATCTGCCAAATACATTGCAGCACATCCAACATTTCATGAGCATACCGAACATTTTGAGATAGATTGCCAAGTTGTCTGGGAGAAATTGCAATCCAACCTCTTTCAACTTCTGCCTATCTCCATCACTGATCAATTAGCAAATATATTGACCAAACCTTTAGATCCTCATCCTTTTCATACTTTGTTGTCCTGGCTGAAAGTGATCACTATCCATTCTTCAGCTTGCAGGGGGTTATTAGTGTTAACAAATATGTCAGTCAATAGTTAGTTAGTTTTCTGTATTAGTTTGTTAGTTTGTTATATACATGGTTCACTCTCTTTGTATTTTATCAATCAATCAATAATATAAATGTTTTATTTTCTCTGTATACTCTGATAATAAAGATGGTGGCAACGAGGGAGAGAGTGAGGGACATGGAGTGGGCAACTAGGGACTATTGAGGATGTTGGGAGAAAAATAATCTGGTGCGTTGAATGTATGATACAACCTATAAGACTAGATGAATCCAATTTGTAAATAATAATAATGGTTCACCATAAACCACATAATCCTCTTCCCCACCTTAGCTTCCATCTTGTTTTAAAAGCTCAATATATGAAGAAACTACTGCACAATAGTTGGTTGTGGAACTAGTAATGTCTGAACAGTCTCAAGCAACAAAATTAAAGGCCGCTCTCAAATCAGAACTTAAACAAAAATCATAATCAGATTCACCACCCCCAACATAAACTGACAGCTAATATACAGTAGCAGAGTTCTACAAAACAAGACATGCGACATGCTGGATCTACAATCAAAACCTAATTTAGGAAATTGCACCCAAAAAAAATGCTTGAGTGGAATTACAAACAGTAGATGAAAGCCATATTATTCCCTGCCCCTTCATAAAAGAACAAATACACAGAAAGAAGGGGATATGCTACAGATTACAAAATTAATCATAATATATGTGAAAAATATTTGGATACAAATAACGAGAAAATGGCATATTTCCATCTTACTTTGGGGGTATTGAAAGATTGTTCTCAAGCATAAAGGAGAGATCACGCATCTGGGACATCAGCATCTCTACATTGTCTTTTGACCCTACTGCAGTTGATACATCTCCAGAGTTTCCTCTGGTATCCATTTCAGCCATCCTGAAGATGCAACAAATGGCATAAATTTCTATTTTGAAAATACAAAAAACATCAACCAAGGATTCAAGAATCAATGTTAGTGTGAAGAATATTCAGAACCAACATAAATTAACTAGACCATCAATTGCAAAATGCAAAGCCTATACAGTAGTTTAAACTTTAAAGGATGAAGAGCTTCCACGTTCTATGGTGCTTTCAAGGTAGAAGTAGAAATAACAGTAACTGGGGAGGTGAAAGATGTTTGAATATTGTAGTTCTTCTAATAAAAGATTAATATAAAGAGAACAACCCACTATTTTGTTCCTCCCTCAACATCCTTTTTCCCGTTTCACAAGTAAAACTAAGCATCATGTCCTTTTCAAGTCATTACATGTAAAACTAAGAATCATGCCATCAAGCATAACCCCGTTCAACATGTCCATCCAAGAGAACCCTTGTGCACAACTCTTACGCTTGGCCCACCTTTCAATTAGCAAACTATGCGGTTAGTACCTAAATGCATCAGCTTCCTTACATGATTTGAACTGTACAGACATCTCTTTAGTTGAATTATGCAATTATCATGAAATGTAAACTGAAAGATTGAGCAAAAACTCCTAAAGGTGTTGGAAACACACTCAATTCACCTGGTACTCAAAGTGATTGAATTGAACTATGCATATTTTTATTAAAAGATGAAACTAACATAATATCAAGTCACCTGTTTAAAGAAGTAGCTGGAAGAGAACTCAGTGAACTACCAAACTGTCCTGAAAATAAATCATGTTGTGAAGACCCACTAAATTCTATATCAGGTGAGCTGTTTGACAAACTGAGTAAATTCATTTCAGATGTCTTTTCAGAAGTCTGATTTACTGTTTGTTTCCAAACATTGCTGGAATGATCTTGTGTAGGGGCCAAGCTAGTAAAGTCATTCCAAACATCAAATGAATCACTATCATTAGTGATCATGGTATCAGCTGTTTTGTTATTGCTGACTTTCCATTGGTCATCTTGCATCCAGTCAAAACTTCTGCGAGAAGAAGCACTAGTACCCTCTTCTGTTTTCATGTCATTAAGATCAGCAGTAATTTCAGACTTCCCAGTCTGGGCAGTAATCACAGAGTTGGAAACACCACCAGAAGGATTTTGTGAAATAGTTGAGCTAGTAAAATCGTTCCATGCATCAAATGAATCATCTACTTCATTAGTAGTCACAATACCAGTTGCCTTGCTATTGCTCCCCTTCCATTGGTCTTCTTGCATCCAGTCAAAATTACCAGAAGAACCAGTAGCACTTTCGTCTGTTTTGGTATCATTAGGACCATGGGTCAATTCAGATTTACCAGTCTGGCCGGTTACCTCTAAGTTGGATACACCAAAGGGCGAATGTTGTGTATTGGCTGAGCCAGTGAAATCATTCCATACATCAAATGAGTCAGCAGTTTCATTAGCACTGATGGTATCAGTAGTCTTGTTATTGTTATGTTGCCACTGATCTTGCATCCAGTCAAAATCCTTGTTAGAAGAGCTATTAACATCCACTGCTGATTTTTTATCATTAAAATCAACAGAATATCCAAAATTTCCACTCTGGCCAGTTGTCTTTGAGCTGGAAATAGTATTAGAAGGATCTTGCATGCTAGCTGAGCCAGTAAACTCATTCCATTCATCAAATGAATATTTATCTTCAGCAGTAGCTGCAGTATCAGTTATCTTGTTATCACTCCCTAGCTGTTGATTGTCCTGCATCCAATCAAGATTTCTACTAGAACCATTAGCATTTTCTGTTGTTTTCATACCACGGAGATCCATGGTCAATTCTGATTTCCCAGTCTGGGTATGTGCTTCCAAGTTGGAAGTTCTCCATCCATCTCCCTGAGAGTAATCATGTTCCATGGATGTTGAAGGATTGAAATCATCATTCTTTCTTACATCAACAGAATCTTTCCAGAATCCAGATGCCGTATCTGATTCAACATTAGAATGATCAACTGATCTGGCCCCTTCATGAACCGGACCAGAACTAGCAGACGTAAAGCTGGCCTCCCAACCAGAAAACGAATCACCTTTCTGATTTTCTGCAGACCCTGCAGCCCCTTCCGAAGCTTGAACATTCTGAAACAAACTAAGATTTTCTTTCATTTGGTAAGAGCTATCTGAAGCACTACTTCCTTGTTTTCCAGAAGCCATGTTCTGTTCAAACACATCAGAATCAGACCCCCTGCGTTCAAAAAAACTATCAAGATCAACTCCACCCAAACTCAATGAACTTTTCTCCTGAAATGCTGTGGAATCCGAAATACTCGACTGAGCTCTCTCTGCCTCAGAAGGCCATCTAATTTCCAAATCTAGCAGTTCAGATAAGGGGATCTCATCTTTCATTGCACTCCTCCCCCTGTTCCATGCATTTTCATCCACCATGGACACCACCATCTCCTGCAAAACAATGTGCACAGGGTTAACACAACAATATATCAAACCTCAAGTTTTTAATGAAAAGAAAATAGACACAAAATTTCAACATGGTTCCTTAAGTGCTTCAAGTGTTGTTCTCAAATCAGAATTAAAATTTCACCTAAATAACCTATAACTCACCTTTAATACCAACCTTCATTACACAAATTACCAAAATGAAACTTCATTTCTAATTGGAGAAAAACACCTAAGTAACTGTATCTAAGCTTAATCTAAAAAATAATAATCAGAGCCTAACAAAACAAACTACCATTCATCTACTTCTCATTCCGATTTGCATTATAAACAAAGGGAAAAATGGATAACATTACATCAAAATAACACCTATAGTTTCCAATTTCCATCATTAAGGGAAGCACTCCTCAAACTCAAAATGACTGAATCAGCAGAATTTTATTAATGTAGACAATGACGAGAATGATTAGTTACCGATCCGTCAAGTTGAAGCGACTCGAGTAGCCATCGATATCCAATGGTGTTCTTGAATTTGATGGGTTCGGGAGGGAGGTCCCTGAGGGGATTGGTGCCGCAAAAGACGCAGACGGAAGATTGAAGGTCGCGAAGGAGTTTTCCATTGCAATTCTTGCAGCGGAGGTATGGCGGCGAGGGATCGAGCTTCGCTATGGTTTCTGCGACGGAAGGGAGCTTGGGGAGCGCGAGATTTTCCTCCTTCTCGGGGTCGTACCATGAGAGGTTGGCCTCTTTGCGGAGCAGAACACGTAGTTGCTTTATCTGATCCAATGGCATCTCGAACGCCATTGTTAGGGTTTCGATTTTGCAGTGTCTCTCGCTTCTTCTTCTTCGATTCAGTGACCAAACGAGTGAAGGAAGGAAGGTGAACGATGCTAGATTCGGTTTCGTTTGCAGAACAGAACTAGAGGGCAGAGGCTTGGGTAAAACGGTGCCGTTTGCGTAAATCGACTTTCCAAATCATTTTTACAAAGTTAATGAAATAAGTAGTTTTTTTTTTTAAAAATAAAATTGGTTTAATTAATCGATTGGTTTTTTTATCTACGTCAATTCTTCGTTTCTATTATTTTTTTAACAGTTCTTTCTAACATTCAAAAATCTATGGTTTAGTATCTGTATAGCAACTTTATTATATTTTAATTTGACGATTTTTTATTGTTAAAAAACTTATAATAAAGTCTAAAATGTATTAAAAAGAATTAGTAGAAAGAAGCTTTCATAAAAAAACTGGAAAAAATTATAATTTTTTAAAACAATTTTTATTGTCTAATATTTATGACAGATTTTGACAGTTTTTGTTAATAATTATTAAGAATAAAATAAGTAAAAAAATTAATGTTGAATACTTTATTATATTTATATTATGTTATAAATTTAAAAAAAAATTAATTCATATAAAATGAATAAATTTTCATTTTCATTTTTGTAAAAAAATATCTTTTAAAATTTTGTTGAATACTTTATTATATTTATATTATGTTATAAATTTTAAAAAAATTAATTCATATAAAATGAATAAATTTTCATTTTCATTTTTGTAAAAAAAAAATATCTTTTAAAATTTTGTAAACATTATTTTTAGTTCTAATAAAATAACTAAAATTTAAGTTTTAATTCTTATAAAATATATTTTTTACATTTTTTATTTCTCTAAAATTAAAAATTATTATTTTTATCCTTAATTATCATTTTATCATTATTATATGACAATCTTTGTTTCTCACTTTAAATAATTATTTTTTAATAACGTATGTAGTAATGATAAATATAATTCTAACATTTCGATAAATAACCAATAAAATGTTATTTCTGATAAAATTAAGAACTCTATTAGAATATATTGATATCTCTTATATAAATAAGAATTATTAAATTTTATAATAATTATTTTAAAATTATATTAATATACAGATTTTTGTATAGATAATATTTCTAAATTAATTAATATTGATTAGTGATAATTACAAGTTAAATATAATTTATGACAATAAATAAATAATTATATAAATAGTTGGACAAATTTTATTGAATCAATCATTTAAGAAAAATAGATTTCTCCAACCATCCAGAAATTTCACGTTACTGTATCTTATGGTTATAGACGTGTTTGAGATACAATTAAGTTAAATTTAAATTGGGTTAAACAAAAAATACACTTACAATTTTTTATTTTCTCACATTACAACACATTTTTTTAACATAATATTAAATTGGTAACTAATCATACATTATTTCTCAAACACGGAAAGTACAACATTTATTGGGTTATTATTATGCAATGTAGTATGTATTGTAAGATATAAGTTATAGGAAATGGATTTAACCGTTGGAAAGTGAGTAAATGTGTAAATAGATAGGATTTAACTTCTCACGATTTTGTTTTTAGACATCATTTAAAATGTTTCTCTATCAATGAAAATAATTGTGTATATAAATTTATGCACATCCTGTTATTTGAACGATGTGAGACTTTGCTTGTATCCAACAAAATACAAAGAAGAGATAAAAATTGAAAGTTTTTTTATTAAAAAAAATTAAGGAGAGAAACTCTTAAAAATAATTTTATTCTATAGTCAAACAAACTCATAATCAGATTATGAAACTTAAAGTGAAGCGGAGAAGTTGTTTAACAACACAACCTGAGACCGAAATACAAAGTGAACTAGTAACTTAATACAGAGCTGCGATTACAAATGACATGATAGCAAGAAAAGCTGAAGGGGGAAGAAAATCAAAGGTATGTGAAGATGATGAGCACAAGCAACTCCCACTCCCAAATTCTATTTCTTTCCAATAGAAGCTCTCCATTTGATCTGAAGAGACTTGGACAACTCAACAAGCTTATCAGTCTCAGGTATAAGACCCTTAACAGATGGGTCAGCAGCAAATCTCTCAGCCCATTTCACCAAAGCAGGAGCCTTTGCTTCAGTAAGTAGTTTCCTCTCACACCTATGCTCTGCTGCACTGAGCACTCCCAGAAAGCACCCAAAAGCAATATCAAGGAATCCAATCATGTCTCCACCAAAAAAGGGTTTTCCTTTGCTGCATTTCTCAAAAGCATCCTCCAACCTCTCAAGCACTTCTTCCAACACCTCAAAGTATGCCTTCCTTTCTTCCTCCTCTTCAACAAACAAAATGCTTCTAATGGTAGGAAACCACTAACCAATTTCCACAAAATAATAAAATGAAATCAAATTAATTTTAAATTCTATGAATTTTAAACAAAAAATAAATTTCAAAATTATGCTTACTTAGAGAGGTGAGAGGAGTTAATTTTAATAATACAACATATATATGAAGAATCATAATTATTTTACCGATATCTAATTTTAATTAGAGTCAAGATTTACATCTCAACTCTCTCTCTCGCTAAATAAATTTCCATCCAACATCTTCTTGGAGGCATGGTTAACTATGTGTATACAATTATTGGCGTGATTGGTCTTAACAACTTGTTAAGTAAATCTAACTTTCATCAGACATCTCAATAACTATGTGACACTATTAACAACTTGTGAGACAAAGTTAATCACTGTTACATATTTCAATAATCTCTTGATATCTACCGACTGAGCTATTGGTACCGGACTTTATTGGTTTGACAGTGAATGATCCTATGTATGAAACTATTTATTAACCAAACTTAATAAAAATAACCTTATGTCAACACGTTCCAAAGAAGGTTTACCTTATCGTCTATGTAAGTAGCCCAAAAGCGAGCAAGAGCTCTATCATAAGGATGAGAGGGAAGGATGGAAGGAGCAGTGGACCATGTTTCATCTATGTATTCAACTATGACCAAAGACTCACATATGGGTTTGTCGTGGTGGATGAGAACAGGGACTCTGGCATAGACAGGGTTGGAGTGAAGAAGAAGCTCACTCTTGGGGTTCATGGTTTCTTCAAAGTGTTCATATTCAAGGGATTTGATGTTGAGAGCAATCTTCACCCTCATTGTATAAGGACTGGACCATTTACCAATGAGCTTCACCTCACTACTCTTAGCCATGCAGATGCAGATTGAATTGGTTCGTTTGTGAGATGCTATGCTCAAGTTCATTGACATGTGGGTTGGCAATGGAACCTTCACTAGAGCCATTTGGGTTATGGAGCTCTTCAATTGCCTTCACTTTCACTTCAATTTCCCAAGTCTCGTGTTCTGTTAGGTGTTGATGGCTTAAATAGTAGAAATCATGCAAGAACTAGTGTCCCAGCCTCTTTTTTTAGTCACGGGTGTTTTTTGTATTCATAATGCATTTGTTTAAGTGATTTAAGTCTAGTTTTAATCAAACTAATTGTTACATGTGTTCATAACTAGTGTTCTCTTGAATATCTACTAAAAAGAAAAATATAAAAAACATAAGGAATGGTATCTAGATAGTTTCATCAAGTAATTAGTTACTCATTGCGTACTTACTATGTACTTATGTAGGTATATCCTTACCTCTATCTACCAATACTTTATAAAACTGTGTATAGCATTAATGGAGAGTATTGAAAAACTAGTGACTGTCTAAAATTCAATATGGTGTGCTAATCAAAGTTTATTTAATAACAGACTTAATTGTTCATTCCTACTGCTGAATGTGACCAAATTTGGTCCCGTACTTTGAATGGTTGAATTTTGTTTTAGACATTTTAATTATGACGTGGCATTATTGGATGATTTTGCAATTCTAATCAATCAAATTTGACAATTTATATTACATAAACATCTCCATTGGCATTATCTTTTTAAAAGTCAAATTAACTAGTATATAGTTATTCAATATTTGATTAACATATTATATAAATTATAAAATATTAAATAAATTAATATTTATGTTAAATCATTTTATATATCAAAATAATTAATTAATGATACATTTTTTATGTGATACAAATACAAATTAGATTGTGAGTTAATAGTAACATTAAAATTGTCCATTTATTAAATGTATGGACCAAAATTGAGAAATTAAAACTATAAGGACCACAATTACCCATATATTAAATTAGGGAATCAAAAGTGTAATTAAGTCTTAATAAAAAGATCCTCAATATTAAAGAGTTTGGTTTGCTGAATTATCTTTATTTTAAAAATTAAAAGAAAAAAGAGTAAATCACTAATTTCTTCTTTAATTTTTTAAGTAATTCTTAAAGTAATGAAATTATGTTTTAAAAAAAATTTAATCACTCAAATATGAGTTAAATTTGTTTTAGTTTTTCAAACTTAAAATTTATTTTGTTATCCCCATAATTTGAAATAACTTTATTTTAGTCTCTATATATACTTAAATATCACTAGTGAATATATACAAAAAAAAAAAAAACTCATATCATTGAATATATCATACAAAATTTCATCTAATAATGTCTTTACTAGTAAAACGTCACATTGAACCTAATTGATATTACATAATTGATCACACAACTTAACTTTGTTAGTATAATATTATCGGTGGTCAACAATTTCTTTTAAAATTATGAGACTAAGAAAAATAATTTTAAATTTGAAGGACTAAAAAAAATTTAATCCAAATTTAAGACACTAAATAAGTATTTAAATCTGAAATATTTAAATAATTTTTGAAATATTTAATATTCATCGCTATAATTTCTAAATTAATATATTTCATTAAAAATTATAAATTGATTTGAAGAGGTTTTTAATATTTAAAACATTGCTTACCATAATTTATAATAGTTCTATAATTACTTAAATATTTATTTTAAATTTTAATATGAATTAAAAAAAACGACAAACACTTAGACCATCAAATTCATAATTTACTCAAAAGTAAAAACATCTAGCTAATAAACCCTCAATTTTTTAGATCTTTTTTTTCACAATTGCATCTTATATCTGTAGATAAAGGTTAGTGTAGACCAACTTGATAAGTGGTCTATGTCTTTAGATTAATTTCATTTGCATCATTCACAGAAGATTATCCCTGCCCCAACTTTTTTTTCTTCTTCATATAACTCTACATCTTGCTTGCAATGTCGAGTAAAGTTCTTGTAGTTGGTGGTGCCATGGTTGTGTATCTGAAAATGATATTTAATCTAATAGGTAAAAGTCATGCTCTATCATAAACCATCTATCAAGACGATCTATCCTAACTTTCGTTGTGTTTGTATGAGCATAAATAAAATGAAGAAGAATAAAAGGTAAAAAGATGTTATTTTTCATTATTTGTTTGCTAGAATAAGTAGAATATAACATATATTGTTACTATCCGGGATGGTACACATAAAAGTATTTTTCGTTTAAATTGCTATAAATTTGGGGCATTCCTTCTATTCATTATGTTTTCTTTCATTTTTTTAACATAAAAATGAAAAGAAAAAAAAAAAATATATATATATATATATATATATTTATTTATTTATTTATTTCCATTTTTCTATTCTACTCATCTAAGAGGGTGGTGAAAAAAAAAATCACTTTTTATATATTAATATAATTTTTTTTTACCAACATTAATTGATAGAAATAACAGCGATTTACAACCCTTAACCAAATTATATAAGATTCAAATCATAACCTTAAATATGAAATATATATTATATTAATAAGAAAATATTTATTTTATGTAGACTCACACAATAATAAATATTATGTATTAATATCATAGTTAAAAATACATGTTTTTTTTACTTAAATCATTTCTATTTTTCTGCATGATTTCTTTTCTCTTTATTATACTTCTAATCCATATAAAATAGTAGTGTTATTCTTGACAATATATTACTCATTAAATATTTATTTTAATATTTTTATGGAAGCAACACAAATCAAATTAGAGATGTGTGGAAAGTAATTAAAAAATGTACAATATTTTATATTACGACATATATAAGTTTAACTTCTTAAATATGAATTATGTATTAATACTAATTTTTTATTTAATATATAAAATCAATACTTTGTATATAAATTACAATACATACTAGAAAAGATAAGAAGTGTTAAATTGCATTTTGAAAGGACAAAACTTACAAAATAGTATCATAAGTACTATTTTTATTGTTATCATATTATAACATGTTATGTGGATATTTTTTTCACAACATATTAGTAATTTAAAGTGATAATTATACCTCCATTAATGCTCATTAACATTGTTAACTCTTTCTTAAAGTCAAACACAAATATGTTTTGTTCAGCTTCTCTCTACCCTTCTAAACAATAACAAATGCGAGTGGCTTATTGATGATCTTTGACACACTCAAACTCGCGATTTTACCTGTATCTTGCATGACTTATCTCTATGCATGTGTTGCTGAAGTAAGTAGGGACAATGATAATTGCATCTTTCACCATATTACCCAAATAGGTTTCAACAATATAAAAGGATAAAAGAAAGAAGCATCTTTTGCTCTCAAATAATTCCATGATCTAAATTTTATTAACTCCACCACATTTGTTGGTTCTGCAATTATATTTGAGAATATTGAATCATTATAGGCTAACCACAAGGACCAGAAAGCCACCATCCACACAAGAGACCAACATTGCCTATTTGGGGCATTGCACTCTGGTAAAGCAACAAATGGAGTAAAATTTTCCAAATAGATGGGACCAAACAAAGTCCCCCCTCCCCCACTTCATACTCCATCTTCTAAACAGAGCAAGCAAATGCACATTCAAAAAACAAGTGGGACAAGGATTCAATAGCATAATCATACCACACACAATCAACTTCAGATACATCAATTATCTTCCTTCGAAGTAAGTTTTGCTTTGTAGGAATCCTATTCAAAATAGCTCTCCATACAAAACATGAGATCTTAGTGGGTATAAGTTTAGACCAAAGGTAATGATGCATTGGAAATTCAACAAAGATATCATCATTCACAATAACTTTATAGGCAGACTTAACAGAATAACTTTCTACTAGATCCGCATTCCACTCCCAAGAATCTGAGTTACCAAGTGACAAATGTATAGGTTGTAAATCAACAATAAGTTGATATAGCTAGGCCTCTTCCCCCAAGAATAAGCTTCGCTGCCAACTCCACTGCCAACTAAAACCACTCTCATCCCTAAGTAACATATAAGCTAAAGAGACATCCTTAGCATTAGTAATTAAAAAAAGCCTATGGTATTGGTCACACAAAGGCACACTACCTAACCACACATCCTTCCAAAAAAGTATCTCATGCCCATTTCCAAACTTTCTTACACAACATTTTGAAAACCAGTCGTTGGTGATACCACCAATACAGTCAATTGACCATAAATCACACCACCACTTAGACCCCCTCACGCTACCCCCTCTCCCATTCCCAAAACTCCCACCATAAATAGAAGAAAAAACCCCATGCCAAAGCATTCCTTTTTCTATCAACCAATGCCACCTCCACTTCCCTAAAAGCGCTAACTTGAAGGCTCTCAAATCACGAATTCCCAACCTCCCATGCCTGTACTCCCCACATACATTCTCTCAAGAGACCCATGAAATTTTATTCTTTTCTAAAGTCCCTCCCCATAAAAAGGAAAGGTAATAGATCGGGATTAAGTGTAGAACGGACTTCAAAAGGACATCTAAGGAAGGCTTAAGACAATAAATAAGTTTATTTAGGAAAACATATATGAAACTCAAAATTAAAAGGATATTATCTAGTTATTTTTTTGCTTTTGTATCATTATTTTAAGGTTTCACCTCATACTAGTCTTGCTCATTTAGAAGGTAAGTAAAGTTTAGGTAAAGATTTTTTCCACCAAGGAATACACGTTTTTATACAAGTTTATTTTACGTGAAGGCTATCTCCAATACTTGACATACTACCAAGAATTTTATCAAAGTAAATAGTATTCCAAGTATTATACGATACAAGCCTCTTCAAGTTAAATTTGAGTATTACTTTTTGAAGGATTCAAGTAAAGTCTCATATTACTAAAAGAAGAGAGTGGGCGTGAGTTTATAAACACATAAATGTCTCCATTGGTGAGAGACATTTTGGATGACGATCAAAATAAAACTATGAAGGTTTAGTCCCAAAGTAAACAATATTATATCAATGTGAAAACACATGTGTGTAGGAACAAACATGTGTTTGTAGGAACTTACATGTGTAAAATTATTTCACTTGTTTCTCCAAACTAGGGCATTCATAATATTAGATCAATCTAATGAACTAGACAATCTGAATCAAATCAATTAAATTAGTTTAGAATTTTTTTTCGTTCGGGTCTAACTTGAACTAAACCTATTAAATTCAATGTTATTAATTCGGATATCGGATTTACACATTTAAAATTTGAATCAACCAAAACCAAAACAATTAATATTTATGTATCATTTTGATTATTTTGAAGACAATTTTGTATTACAATATGTAGATTTTTTTCATTCCTTTTTTCAATTACTTAAAGGAACCAAGAACTATATTGCAAAATATTGAGTGTCATTTTAAAACATTATAGTACATTTAAAATGATCAAGTAGATTAAGAAAAGAAATCAAGAGGAACTATATTGCAAATCTATTAATTTAACTAATTTTTACAATATATCAATTTAGTTAATGTTAAAAAATCTATTTACTTTAAAAAATATATTTTTTAATTTAATTTTTTTAAAAAAATTCATTGAATATTCGATGACTCAAATCGAACAAATCCAATTAACATCGGATTTGTTTGTTCAGTTTAAGAAATTTTTTTTTTATAAAATTCGAACTAATCCAAACCAATTAAATTTAATGAATTTCGATTGAATTTTCACTCAAACTTAAATCAACCTAACTCATGGACATCCCTACTCCAAACAAAACTCAAGTATTGTTTCAACATAAAATTTGAATATGGACATCCCTACTCCAAACATAACTCAAGTATTGTTTCAACACAAGTCTCAAATTTGAATATTCTTTTAGTACAAAGTCTTTTAAAGTGTCTACCAATTTTACTTAGAAAAGATAATGGGTAATACTCCCGTGACTACTTTGTCTTACTAAGACAAATATAATGGCTTAAGCACACACTTTTTTTCTTTTGTACATAGAGACTTACAAATAGAGCTTAGATGAACCTCTATGTTCACCTTCCAGGAAGGATGGTTGGGGTAATGAACCAAACCTCGTCAATATACTAAACTATTATCCCGGATTCACATGTGATGTAGAACTGGGATTTTCTTGCAGACAGAGTTGGACTTAAGAAGTAAATTTTTGTTTTGGAGGACTAAAGGTGTCTTACATGTTATCATAGTCTAAACATTTGATGTTAAGAGCAATCTTAACTATCAAGAAAAATGGACTTCTCCAACCACCCAGAAACTTCCAAGTCATTGTTGTGTATATGATTATAACTTCGGTGTTCTCAAACACAGGCAATGCAATGTTTATTGGGTTGTTATGCAATGTAGTATGTAAACAAGCCATAGGATATGGATTTAACTATTCTAAATTGAGAAAATGTGTAAACTGAGAAAGTAAGGATGTATCCTTGGCATTACGAAAATAAAATATAGAAGGCTAAGAAAACTGTTACATTAATACCTCTAAGTGAAGTAATTCGAAAATGAAATGGCATATTTATTTCATTGCAACGATTGTCACCTAAATGCTATAAAACCTCGGTTCTCATCTCACTTGTTGTAGACTGCTAGTGCTAGGTGCTTTCTCTGGGACAAAAGCAATCTGCATTTGCTAATCAAAAGTAAGGGGTAACACTAACCCATTAGATAATGAAAAGGCACCATGTGAATTGGAGTGTTACGTGACAAATTGAACATACGGAGACTGAATCTCCCAACAATTTACACTTAAATTTCTTGGTTTCCTATCTATGATTTCCCCAGCAAGCAGCAACTTGAATAATACCCATTTCTACTTTACATTCAAAAGACTAATCACTACCAAGTGTAGCTCAAAGGAATGAAGCAATGTTGTGAAAATGTTCTCTTTTTGGGTATTGTTGCTTCCTAGTCAGAGATATGATCAGATTGTGAAACTTAAAGTGAAGGGGAGAAGTTGTTTAACAACACAATAACATGACACTGAAATACAAAGTGAACTAGTAACTTGAGACAGAGCTGTGATTACCTATGATGCTGCGAATACGCGTATCGGATACGACACGTATCTGATACGGCGATACGATTATTTAAAAATATATAGGATACGATACTTGTAAGATACGTGTTCATCAAGGACCAATAATTCTATGTTTCTATATTAAACATGTTTATATATCTTATTTAGTTGTAATGGATATTTCATAATTTTTCAAAAATTTGAACACTTTATTGATACGTATCACTGATAAGTATCGGTGAAGTATCTATAAGTATCAAAATTGAATAAAAATTTTATAATATTTTTAAAGGTTAGGATACTTCATTGACACGTATCGGTGAAGTATCCAAGAGTATCGTGTTGGATACGTATCGGATACGGATACGTGAAGCAAATTGAAGTATCCGTGCTTCATAGGTGATTACAAATGATAGGAGGGCAAGAAAAGACTCAAGGGAGGAGAAAGTTAAGGGTAACTACAAGATAAACTCATAAGGCCATACCACGATGAATTTTATTCTTTTCACACAATTCATCATACATGTGAACAACATGATTAGCAGAAGCAACTCCCCACTACCAAATTTTATTTCTTGCCAATAGCAGCTCTCCATTTGATCTGAAGAGACTTGGAAATCTCAACAAGCTTATCAGTCTCAGGTATAAGACCCTTAACAGAAGGATCAGCAGCAAATCTCTCAGCCCATTTAACCAAAGCAGGAGCCTTTGCTTCTACCAAAAGTTTCCTCTCATACCTATGTTCTATGACACTGAGCCATCCCAGGAAGCATCCAAAAGCAATATCAAGGAATCCAATCATGTCTCCACCAAAAAAGGGCTTCCCTTTGCTGCATTTCTCAAAAGCATCCTCCATCCTCTCAAGCACTTCTTCCAACACCTCAAAGTATGGCTTCCTTTCCTCCTCTCCTTCAACAATTATAATGCTTTTCATGGAAGGAAACCACTACCCCATTTCAACAAAATAACAAAACCAAATCAAATTCATTTCATTTCTTATGAATTTTGAACAAAATTTGAATTACGAAATTGTACTTACTCAACAAAAGTATGAGGGGCGAAAAGAGTCAATTTTAACTTTGCATCTTATCTCTTGCATTATAAACTTTTATGTATATATATTGTAACTTCCAAACATAAAAGTTTAAATAAAAAAAATTCACATCCTTTTCATATAGATTAGAGCATTTCTTTTACTTTTCTAATTCAATCTATTTCATTTTTCAAAAAATATTTTTAATTAAAATATACATATATTTTGAAGATTTTATGCACCTTTAACAAATTATTGATCATTATGTAATTAAAAACTGTTGACTTTTGTGGCAATTACTTACAACTTTTAATTAGTTGAAAGAATATTACAATTAAACTCTAAACTCGTTCCATGTTTTCAATTAGTTCCAATTCCAAATAGGCAAACACAAAAGGAAAAGAAATAGCAAAATAATTTACCTTATCGTCTATGTAAGAAGCCCAAAATCGAGCAAGAGCTCTATCATAAGGATCAGAGGGAAGGATGGAAGGAGCAGAGGACCATGTTTCATCTATGTATTCAATTATGACCAAAGACTCGCAGATGGGTTTATCGTGATGGATGAGAACTGGGACTTTGCCATACACAGGGTTTGACTGAAGAAGAAAATCGCTTTTTGGGTTCAAGGTTTCTTCAAAGTGTTCATATTCAAGGGATTTGATGTTGAGGGCAATCTTCACCCTCATCGCATAAGGACTGGAATATTTGCCGATGAGTTTCACCTCACTCTTCGCCATGGAGATTCAAAATCTATGTTGGATGCTAAGTATTCAAATGAACTCCTGTTCAAGCTGCAAAATGTTTTAATATATATTATTTTGTTTATTATTAATTTTGAACCTTAGTTTTAAAATTTTATGTTCAATGGGTCAACTACATAAGAGTCCACGATTATATTATATTTATTCTATGATGAAGTATACAAATATACATAAATCTATATATGTATAACTAGAGTAGAGAAAAAATAAAAAAGAAATTACATATATAAGATAAAATGAGTTGATATATATATATATATATATATGAAGATGAAAGCATGTTTACTTTTTTAAAAGGTGTTGGAGATGTGTTTTTGTCTTGTTTTGGGTGTCTAAAAAATATTTTTGTAAAATAATTATGATATTTTACCACTGCTCCACTATTCCGAATCTGGTTGCATTTGCACGCATCATCACATTCACAACATATCTTACAGTTCTTACTATATTCTTAGGATTCTATTCACACGAGGGACGAAAAATGCTACATTATTGTAGTAAATACAATGTAAAATCAGAACAACATTTAAAACACAGGCCGAATTCATCGGTAGACACAGAAAAATTCTTACAGTTATTATACAAGAGCAATATGGGACACTTGAGGCATGAAAAGCCATTCCAAAACCAAATTTTGTCCAGTAAATCATTGTCACTGCAATGCTAGATTACCTTTTTTTTCTTCATTTTCTTGTGACTCTTATGCTCATTAACTAAAGCAGTTGAAAATATAATGACATACCTTGTGAACAAGATCAAGCTTTCGGTAGTTTCCACTCCACCTAAGAGGAAATTTCCATACACATTCTTGATAAGCTATGGATAATTGAATAAAATCCTGAGAGATCATTGGTGAGGCATTTAACTCTATAACAAGCTTCCGTTTCTTCGAAATTACTTGTTTTGCTGTCTCAATCCATCCAATTCCTCTTTCAAAATATGGCAGGCCTGCATAGCACTTGTGCTGTTATCATGGGTACAGGACATGATTCTGTTTTCAATATTGTATAATTGAAGAACTTTTGTGAGGAAATGGATAAGGTATGCGCAGAACCAGTTTTGGTCGATCCACTTACATGTTACACTCATTTAGAAATCTGAGTGTAATGGACAACATGGCAATAACATCTTCCCTCATGCTCCTGAAAACTTGATCAAGTACAGTTCTATACTTGTCACTTGGCTAGAATTGTATAGATGGAATTAGAAACTTGTAGGAATTTATAAGCCACTTGTCTACTCTTCCTGAGTTGAAGGAGGGAGAGAAGCTAAAAGAAGTCATTTAATGAGCAACCAATTTAGATGATCAAAATCCACTCGATTTGTCATTACCAAGATGCCTTCATGAACAAAGAAACTTTACAATTGCTAGGATAACTTATATTTGTAACCAAGGATACTACAATTTAAATTTGAGCAAGTTTCAAATACAAATTGAAATAAGACAATAAAAGGGAAAATGTGGAGATAGAAAATGAGTGCCCCATCCATCTAGTCGTCTACTCAAAACTCAGATCAGAGTCAGAAAATGAAGTGAATGTTGGAACTTATAATAGTTCACAGACATCACTGGCTTAATCCTAACATGATGGAATAAGGCTAAAAACTGTTTTTGGCAATGCAATCTAGTCAATAATGATCACTTATATGGAGGATTGAAATCGATGCTATTTTTTTTTTTTTGGTTTTATTTTGGGGTTGGTCTTTCTGATCAAGTCTAATTTATAGTTACATTATATGCTAATTTTCAGGTTCGGTGATGTTAGTAAACTCATCAAATAGAATTCAAATGATTCCAATCAATCTGATTAATAAATCCAAGCTCAAGATTGCAATAGTTGGTTTTGGCAACTTTAGTCAGTTTCTTGTGAAAACTATTGTGCGTTATGGTCATCAAGTGTTAGAATACCCTAGATCATACTAGTTTCATGTGACTCAAGAATTGGGGGTTTAGTAGTTGAATAATGTAGACTATTAAATACGGACACATCTACATAATATTGTATTAGTGTGTCTGACACATTTCTGAGATGACATTTGTCAGATATGTGTCTGACGTAACTACATCATGTCACAATTAAAAGTTATTATTTTTTGATTTAGATTCTTTTTCAACACAACTTTAATATTTTTCTAACACAATTTGACATGAATTAAGAGAGTGATCGAGTAAACTCTTGCTCTTAGCTAAATATTTATCTAACATTCTTATTATAAAAAAAAAAAGTTAACTTATTTATAAATGTTGCAAGGCATGTAACACTTTTTTTTTATCTATGATGAGGCTTAATTTCATAAGAATTGATTAATTTTTTAATTTTTAAGAGATATAATTCTTTTTTTGAAAAGTCATTATCATATAAAAGTTGTAAAACTTAAACCTGTCATGTTCTCGTGTCCTACTTTTTGGACATTAACTATATCTTGGTGTCTGTGTCTATATTGTGTCAGTGTCTATATTAGAGTCGATACTTTATAAGTGCTGAACATGATTGACATCCAGTTAGATCACAATTTATAATTGTTTATGAAGTACCAACACACCTGACAACGACATTATTGAGGTGCTCGACACACGGTTGACACATTTATTTGTAGTATCTATATCATTAATTTTTATTTTATTTTTTACTCTGACACGACTCAAACACACCTTAAATCGCTAGACATATTTATGAACACATTTATGGATACTACAGTTACCTTTTTATTTTTTTTTACTAATCTTCTTAATTAAAATTAAAATAGAATTGAAATAAATAAATTTTCTAATTTTCTTTTTTAACCTATTACACTAATTTCTTTTACTAATTTATCTCTCGATGAATCAAAGTTAGAAGCTATGTTTTTTAATTTTGATGAAAAAAAAAAAAGAAATAAAAAGGGTTTAGATATAATAAGATGAACATGTTCTTTTTCATTTATTTTTTCAACGATAACTCTTAGTATTATTTTTTGTAATTCTTAATTAATGATCTTACCAAGTTGTTTGTTAATTTTATTTTTTGTAAAGCAACAAAATTTTAGTACTTTTAAAAAAAAAATTCGATGATAATAGTACCTCTTAATTACCAAATGTCGTGTGACCATGTCTTATATTTTTTTACTACATTCATGTCAGTCAGGTGTGCATGTTAATGTTGTGTCCCGTATCAGTATCAAAGTCGATACTTCATAGTAATTAACACTGGCTACAGGAAGATATTTAGAGAAGCTAAAGTTGGAGAGAACACACCAATAGACACAAAGGACTATGAAACTTTGTTGATCCAAAGTTCAAACCAAACAAAAGTACAGAAATTAAACCCTCAACAGGCATGGGCAACAAACACTGCATTCCATGTTATTTTATTAAAACTAGCATTACATGGAAGCAGAAGTGAAGCACCTATATATTTTAAGCCTTGATCAGCGTTTAAGGGTCTTGGCAAACTCAATAAGCTTCTCTGTCTGAGGCATAACATGTTTAACAGCATCATGTGCACAGAACCTTTGAGCCCATTTCACGAGCTCAGGTGTGTTTCCCTGGTCAAGCAACTTCACTCCATTGGCTACTTCTGTGACCCTCAGCCACCCCAAGAAGCCACCGAGTGCAATGTCCAACAACCCTAGTTGGTCACCGCCATAAAAGGCCTTCCCTTTGCTGCTATTCTTGAACACGTCCTCCAACAATGCCAACCCTTCTTTCACCTCCTCTATCAATCTCTTCTTCTCCTCGATTCCTTCGGCTCCTCTGATGGATCTCATGGTCGGGTACCACTGCATGCATTCATACACACAATTTCACATTTTAAATATATTGCACATATACATATTTTACTTTCTACTTTTGAGCCACACTATGTTTACAATGCTGAAATTAAAAGATACCAATATTTTACATCTATTCAAGATGGCAAATGGACAACCATTTTATCTTTCTTTCTCTAGTTTCAGTTTGGGTTGGTAAATGAATTGAGATAATATAATCACTATATATATTCAGCATGCACACATTAGTGACCGATATTTTAAGTTTAAAAATGAAAAATAAAGAGAGGAGACAATAGAAAAAGTATTCTTTTAATTTTGAGACATTTTTTTTTATAATTATGTATATAAAAAAGACAAAAACAAAACTAAGGAATAGAGATAAATATATACTATATTTTTTTAAGAGAATAGACTATGTATTAATAATATTAAGCAATTTTAAATCCTCATCTAATTACAAATTATATGTATAATAAATTAGTTAACTTTTATAATAATTATATTAAAAGTATACTTAAGATAATTTTTAATTAGTTGAGTGATTAAGTTTCTAAACTTGCTACATTTTCATTCAACCCTTTCATTATATTAACTTTTCATGTTTAAATAATGAATTTAAACTAATTTAAGTATGCATACAATATCCTTAAAATTATGACATTTTTTCTTTTTACCTTTAACCCTCTATTTTTAAAATTTTATTCATGTATAATTTGATATTTAACTAAATAGTATATTTTCAGTCTCTCGCCAAGAGTACTGTGTACTACCTTCAGGAATTAAAAGTGAATAATTTCTATATTTCTTAAAATCTAAAAATAAATAAATCTAAATGAAGATATGAATTTAAAATGTTCTTAATTCCAAAAGGTAAAAACATATTTTAGTAGTGTTTTAAGTGTATTTAGACACACAAAAAAAAATCTCAATAATCGTACCAAAACCTTCAAATTTTGAAGAATGCTATAGAATTTCTCTATTTGCTATACCTTTTCATCAATATAAGCAGCCCAGAAACGAGCAATGGCACGGTCATAAGGATCAGAAGGAAGAATGGAAGAGTGAGAGGACCAGACATCATCCACATACTGCAAAATGATCAAAGACTCGCTGAGGGGTTTGTCTTTGTGAATAAGAACAGGAATCTTCTTGTAAATAGGGTTGGATTGAAGTAGAAGCTGGCTTTTGGACTCCAACCTTTCCTCAAGGAATTCATATTCCACTGATTTCATGTTTAGAGCTATGCGAACCCTCATCACAAATGGACTTGGCCATGCCCCCAACAACTTCACCTCACTCTTCATCTTCACACACACTTGTTGCAATTCTCACAAGCTTCTACTTCATGATTATAAATATATAAGAATGAACCAACAACCATAAGAAAAGAAGATTAGTTGATAAAAGGTTAGTTCATAACGTGATGGAATGCTAGATGAAGTTGTGTTTACCAACCCACCAACTAACACCAGCTACTTCTTCTTCTCGTATCCTTTCATTAAATGCATTACCGAATATGGGCAAATTCTAATAAGAAATATCAGTGAGTTTTATCACTAAATCCAGCAGAAAACTCATCAAACAAAACACAAAATTTGTGATTTCGAAATTTTAGTCAATAATTTAGAGCAAAATGTTGCTATCATTTCTCAATTATAAATAAACATGTATAAAAGAATAACATAAGAAGATAAGTTTTTTTTTAATAAAACTTGTTTAGATAAATTTTTCATCAGATATTTTTAAAAGAAAAAAAAATTAAGAATATGAAATGACATTTTTCAGAAATTAAAATTAGTTTATCCATAATCTAAAACTTTCTTATATTAATTTCTCTAAAATTTATTTTTAACTTGGACATAAATTAGTATTAACATATAAAAAAGATTATTTCTTTTTTATTTGTTATCTTTTTCTCTTAGAAATACTTATAAAAGATCTTAACTAAAATTAACATGTTGATAAATTAATTTATAAATGCTCTTTTGTTTAACTTCTCTAAAATTTTAATTTACTTACAAATAAGTAAGTTTTACTTTACGAAATAACTTTTTTTCTTTTTATAAATAATGTGGACAAGTTTATCTTAATAGAGCCAAAATGGTTATGGTACGGTAAAGGAAATCACGATTAGTAGATTTTGTGGCCCAGAAAGGTACACGATGCTGATCTCTCCGTGCTCATTTTGTGAAGAAAAAAACATAGCTTTCAGGTGACCACAACATTCCACAACTTGAATGGGTTTTCCTGTCTCTAAGTATATTGAAAGAAATATAGGATAACATTTAATTTTAAACAAAATTTTCTCACCTTTTCTTTTTCTTTTTATTTATATCCTGCGAGCAAAAGTTAATTTCCCCCAACACAACACTTCATTGATTATTATCTTTAAGCTTCACTAATCAACACCGGAATAATCTTGATTCCTAGAAATGGCAACAAAACGGATCAGGATGAGTTTCACTCTCTCCATCCCTATCTTGTAAAAGACGGAGTGAGTTTGGGTTCACATTTTAAAGAGATAGGTTTTTGTTTTAAAATTTCTTCCCCATCTCTATTAAGTTTTGTCAAATTCGAGTAAAGTTATGGGAATTTATCAAACCCCCCTCCCCCCATATATAGAGGGATTTATTTATTTTAAAAGTAAGTTTACCTAGATTTATTCCGTTCAATATCTCAAGTTTTATATCAAATTTTAATAATCTAACTATTGAATTTAAAGTTCTTAATGCATATATCAAATATGCAAATTTTATAAAAATTTGAAAATAATTTGATACTTCATTTCATTAATTCAAATTGATGGATAATCATAAAATCATTTTATATATTGATTTGAATTAATAAAACGAAGTATCAAATAATTTTCAAAATTTTTTAAAATTTACAGATTTGATTCATGCATTAAGAAATTTAATTTCAACCGTTGCATCGTTAAAATTTGATATAAAACATGAGTTATTAAACAGAATAAGTCTAGGTAGACTTATTCCTGGAATAAACAGATCTCTCCTCTCTCTCTCTATATATATATATATA